ATCACTAAGGCTAAAAAGTCCTCTGCCGTAAATTCACTATTTACGTCTCCCGGTGCCGTGCCGGTTTTGCCGTAAAACTTCGACGGACCATAACTTCTTCGTTATAACTCGGATTTCGGTGTTCTTTATATGTACGGAACCCTTGTAACATATACTAAAACTTGGTTTAGATTAATTCTTCTAAATGATCTTCCATCAAAAACTCATTTTTGATGTTCATCGTCTCTAAATTGACTAGCCCGAATCTACGGGCGTTACACAACCAAGCCCAAAAGATAACCCAAACCCAAAATGAAACCACAAGGCCCAATAATGCCCAAATATCTATATTGGGCCCAAACCAACATGGGACTAACCTGAGGAGGCCCAATATCTTAAAAAGCTCAAAATAACCAATGGTTAACCATGGTCAAACTTCTGGTCAATGATCTATGGACAACAAGTTAACAAAACAGGAAAAGTCAAACAAGCCGAGTATCCCCCACGTACTCAGCTGGTATGCCTAACATATACCCTTTAAGGCCAATACACGCAACGTACCAGATGGGTACGCCCATCGTACTCCCCTGAACCCCATTGACGGTAAAATAAGTGAGGAGCTTAAAGAGGGGTGTATATATGTGAATAACTTATTGGAAAGAAGAATCGGGGCATAAATAACACCTTCTTTTGGATATATATATATATATATATATATATATATATATATATATATGTATATATATATATATTATATATATATATATATATATATATATATATATATATATATATATATATGGATCAATGACATGGCTCTTAAAGATGTTTTTCCCTAAATATATACATGATCGAGGCTGTAAAAAGTGCAAAGTTGCTAAGCGACTTCATACCTCTGATTTGCAGAGACAATGACATTGGAAGAGAAATCCCAGAAATGGTACATAATCCATACAACTAAACAAAAAGATTTGAATGATTTGGTTGATGATATTAAGTTATCGGCAACCGCTGACTCGTGGAGATGGAAGGTAGATATAAGTGGTATTTTCTTAAAGAAATCACTACGAGAGCTTACGGATAATTGGGTCTATCACACCCCTGAACCAGACGGCGAAAACGTCTGGGGGCGGGTGACTTCATCTAGTGTAACATACACGTTTTGAAATCATGTTTCGTAATGAATAAAATTGTGAAATACTATGTGAAATTGAGTGTTGAGTTCTAACAGATGGTTTTTACTAGAAATAAAGTAAAACTATGTTTAGAATTACTCAGAAAATATTGGAAGTCTTATGAGATTCCAGTTAAAAGCTAAATAGTGAAATTTAACGAAAATATAAATTTTTAAATAAGTAATATTTTTTAAATAAGTAATATTTTAATATTGGAAGTCTTATGACAGGGTCCCTCACTTTTACACATGATCCAATCTCTTCTAATCTTGCGATAAGAGGGGTTAAATTGCCCTCCATCTTATGCTCATTTTGCTTATCCTGTGATGAGACTGTTGGACATCTTTTTTTTTCGACTGTAATTTTTATGTATCTATATGGAGGTGGTTAATTTCTTGGTCATGTATTTTACCTTCACCTCCTACGAGTTCTTAGATCATGCTTTTGAAGATGAATTGTAAGGGGCTTAATAAGAAGTACCAGAAGATGAAGCTTGGCCTAATTTATTCTATCATTTGGTCTATATAGAAATCTTGAAATGCTCTTGTTTTCAATAAAGTAAGGAGCTCTCCAAGAAAGACGGCGGATAAGATACAACTTATTTCATACAATTAGTTCAAAAATCGTGTTAATCTTAATCATTTAAATTGGAATATTTTGTGTTATTCTCCAATTTCAGCTTGTAGTAATACCTTGTAATTTCTTTAGCGTCATGCTAGATGTTCCTAATAATGTCTGCCCGTTCTAAAAAAATTAATGGTTAGAAAGAGGAAATTTTAGGGATTTAATAGGGCATATAAAAAGTCGTATAATTACACTTAAATGAAGAGGATTGTAACTATCATTCTCATTGTTTGTATCGATACATATATTGTTAATTTTCAATTTCAATTCTTCCATTTCGATGCAATCTTTTTTGTTGGGCTAGTTGAATGACCTTTCATGTTTTTTTTATATATTTAATGACATTTTGTACCTTCGTATGGATCTTTCAAATGGTACATAAAATTAATTACGAAACATTGCATATGCAAGTTGAAGATTTAGGTCCATTTCATTAATTACACTACAGACTCTAGATGGACTTTGTATTTGAAATTTGAGAATGTAAAAAATTTATAGTAAAATTATCGGATATCGGAACATTCTAATTCTGCTATATATTATGTATACATATATCATGTATAACATGGTGGTAGAATAAATAGTCTGGAATGTTGCACACTATATCTTATCGGAGGTCAAACACATTCAATTTGAACTAAAAAACAATACAAAATTTGTACAAAGTTGTTGATATTTTAAACTTACGAAAACACAAGCAACTCGAGAAGACTTGATTGAATTATACCTACTATAGGAACGATGATAATGAATAGTATATTTAGAAGAAAAAGAATTATCTATTTTTTTTGTTCTTATTGTAATGTCTTTTTTATTTGATTTAAATCATATAGATTATTTAAATAGCATGTTTTATTTAGAAATTATGTTTTATATAAATATTTTTGTTTTTATAGTTAACTAAAAAAGAAAGTCAAAAAAATTAAAAATAAATGATGACATGAAAATTATTTTGATGTTATAACATGATAATGATTTCCTATAATGATGTTATAACACAATAAATAATAGGGAGATGATATATATATATATATATATATATATATATATATATATATATATATATATATATATGGGTAAAGTGAATATACCTAACAACCTTATATAAGCTTAGGTACCTAACCTCATCAAACTACGTCATTTTGCATTAAAATTTTATTGCAATCATCCAAGGTTCTTAAACTTCATCCCTAAACTTGATCTACTTCAAAAAAAATTGGAAATTCATGATTATATTTCTCCTATATCCTTTCGTTTGTAGCGGTAGGATATGAAGCCCATCAGGTGGTATTCGATAGAAAGACGTGATGTAAAAGAAAGATATTGGTGAAAGTACAAAGATTTTGGAAATAATCAAGTTATGGGGTTGAAGTTTAAGAACCTTAGGCAATTACAATGTAAATATGATACAAACCGATGTAATATTATAGAGTTAGGTACCTAAGCTTATATAAGGTTGTTAGGTATATTCACTTTACCCTATATATATATATATATATATATATATATATATATATATATATATATATATATATATATATAATCCTTTCACTTAAAATAAACTGTATTTAACATTTTTATCCTTTTTTAAAGTTAAAAAAAAATTAAGAGTTATATAAATGGATAATATATGCTTCCCATTGCTTATGAAAATCAAATTTGTGTTTTTATTTATTCATCAAACAAACTCATTATTCAAATGTCAAGTGAACGTATTTTAGAATATAAATCTCTATTAGCAATAAAACCATTTAAAAATATGCTAGACTTCATTCATGTCTAAAGTTTCTCATTGAAATCAAATTATGCAAATGCACTCGTTTTTGATAAGTCGAAGTCGATCAACAAGGCTTTCACGAAACTGTCAATTTGTGTGTCTAATAAAACTTTGAACCAGGTATCTAGTTGTGAATATTATTCTTGGAAATATTGGTTTTCAATTTCCATTTAATCTTCATTAATCTTCGACCTTCTAGAAACAAATGAATGAACATGCACATATTAATTTTTTAGGCTCTATCATGCAAAACCTAAAACAAAAATTAGGTATATTACATTTGTTTTATTTTTCATATCGTGAAAAATTCATGAGCGTGTTGAAAAATTTATGAACCGATAGAAACATATGTAATATAATCAAATGAAATCGGGAATGTAATCAACAACTGTGAAATACTCTCTTTTTTTCGTTAATATTTTAGGCTCTATCATGCAAAACCTAAAACAAAAATTAGGTATATTACATTTGTTTTATTTTTCATATCGTGAAAAATTTATGAGCGTGTTGAAAAATTTATGAACTGATAGAAACAAATGTAATATAATCAAATGAAATCGGGAATATAATCAACAACTGTGAAATACTCTGTTTTTTACAGTTCCAACTTCTCGGTACCGACTACCAGCGAAGGGCATGAAAGCAACGACGACCGGTGAACGGAGAAGAAACAACAGTCACATGCGAAGAACAAGGAAAATTCTTGAACAACGATTTGCTAATAGGAAGAGGAATGAATCGATGTTTGGAAAGAAGGATCTTGTTCACTTGGTTATTGGGATTTTTATCTCTTTCCATATTTTTGGAAATTTTAAATAATACTAAAAATGTAAAAACAATTTGATTTTAGATCGAAGTATCATAACAATTAGTCTTAAAATATTACAGTAGTAACTATAAATAGGAATAAAAAATATAGAATGATTTTTTTTAATCTACGGTAGAAGCGGCCAAATTCAGTGTCCTAAGTAAGGTTCTAAATAACACGTTGTGGCAGCGCCAAGGACGTCGATGTGGGTTGTAGACGTCCCAAAAACGACCTAGGCAGCTATGTAAGCTTGACGCCCAAATAACATGGTAATGCGTGTTTTTTTTGCATAACCGTTTATTTATTTATTTGTTTTTATTTTAAGATCTAGTTTCGACATGCTAGCCCAAAATTATCGCGGGTGAACTTCTGTGGTCACAAAATGGTTTTTGTTCCTCCTTGGATTTGATCTAAGACATGTTTTCGTAATGTTTATCGACTTTTTAAAAAATGATATTTTTGTAAGGTTTTAACATGATTGTAAATATGTAAGATTAAATGTATATTGACATATGAAAACATTAGGTTTTCATTAATATATGATCTGTTTATATGATTAGATGATAGACAAAATACATAAACATATATAATGGGATAAAAGTTCCGATATTTTGGATAAATTTTTAATAAAGTTCTAAATTTTATTTTTTGAATAGAAAATTTAAAATTTTATTAAAAATTTACCCAAAATATCGAGATTTTTCTAAAAAAATCCCTATATATAATATATAAATTATATCAAAATTTTATAGTCTCGTCAGGTTTTGAAAACCGCAAAGTGTCACGATGGCTCTGGCAAGGTTTGAAGCTTGGCTATATTACCTTCCATTATTTACATTTTACAACCATTGTCCTTTGAGTTTGGTGCGTGCCTGAGGTGTCAATAAGTCAACAGTCATATGGTCTCAATAGAAAACCCAATTCACGACGTTACTCGCACCGGACATCATTTCTTAACAGTTTCTTGCCGTTTTCTCTCTCTAAAAACACGTACAAACACTAAAACACACACAAACACACACTTTCTCTCTCTAAATCCCCCAATTTTTTTTTATCAAACGAGGAGAGAGAGGGAGAGGGAGAGGGTGAGAGAAAGAGAAAGATATGTCCGACGCTTTAATCAATGGACTCGCCGGCGCAGGTGGTGGAATCATCGCTCAGCTCATCACTTATCCTCTCCAAACTGTAAGTAATTTTGATCTTCGTGCAGATTAATTTGTTTGCCGATCGATATTTTATGATTGACTAAACATAGGTAAACACGCGTCAACAAACCGATAGAGATCCGAAGAAAGAGAAGAAAAAGGCGGGGACGGTTGAACAGATGTATCAGGTAATCCTCTTGCTTAGTTTTCAACTTAATTGTATTAAGGAGTTTCACTGTGATTTTAATGGAGTGATTCTGTTGATCATTTTAGGTTGTTCAGCATGAAGGGTGGGGCCGACTATACGGTGGCTTAACGCCCTCGCTGGTAGGCACGGCATGTTCACAGGTGAGCTCAGAATCTCTTCTTCAAAGCAGGAAGGATAATCTTTGGAATTAGGAATTAGGATTATGGTTTTTAGCTTATGCTCACCTCTGTTCTACTGTCATTGAATTGCGGGAAGAGATAGACGAAAACCTTAACGTGCTATCTGATCTTTCCAAGCAATTGTAAAATGACAACTTTAAAATTGGTTTGTTTTATGTTTACATCATATCCCATCACAATTACTTTCTGTAAAATAAACTCTCAGTTCTATTAGAAAAAAGCCAAATATCGTGGTCACTTGTTTGAAGGTCAATTTTGTGATTTATTACACATGAAGCAACCTAAATTCCAGTAATGGAATTTATATGTGTGGATATCAAGTGGTCCCACTGCAATGGAAAACGTGCCATCTTAATGCATACTGTGATGTGGGTTTGTTTATCACTAGGCCCATTCTTTTCTTGAAACCTTATGTTGTTATCATTATTGTTTTTGTTTTCATTTGAAGACACATCCATGATTAGACCTTTGATCGGTTTGTTCCCATACTTCCTCTTTTTGGATCTTATGAATCATTACAATTGCAATTACAGCTTGTAACTAAGAACTATTTTGGGTTGCAAATAGATACTAAATTGTAGATATCTCTAATTCCTGTGATCCTATTTTGTATGGTTTTACAGGGTGTTTACTATTATTTCTATCAAATATTCAGGAGCAAGGCTGAAGCTACAGCACTCAGACGTAAAAAGGAAGGAGCTGGTGATGGATCAGTTGGGATGCTTTCATCACTCATGGTGGCTGCTATGTCAGGGTATTTGAAACTTGTATTTTAAAACATTTTCTCTCTTTCTTTCTTCATGAATCATATTCAATTTATTTGATTTTAATCTTTAAGCAAATGTCTTGTCTTTTAGGTGTGTTAATGTGCTGCTCACAAATCCTATATGGGTAGTAGTTACCCGTATGCAGGTGAGCATCTATATCTTTCCTTCTAGATTTTATTTAAATTTGCTAGTGCAAAAACCAAGAATTAAAAAAAAAAAAAAAATTCACTCGTTCATATCATAAATTATAAATCTAATTTTGCAGACTCACACAAAGAAATCTCCATCAAACAAGGTGGAGCCAATTGTTGGTGGAAACGAACCACCTCCTTTTGGAACTAGCAATGCGGTATGTATTAATCCTTAATCTTACAAAACTAAGGTAGTTGAAGTTCTTTAGAACAACGGAATCATGGAAAGAATGGAATAGCTAATTCCGAAGTTTGTTTGCTATTCTTGTAGGTTCAAGAAGTCTTTGATGAAGCTGGAGTCTGGGGATTCTGGAAAGGTGTTTTCCCAACATTGGTTATGGTAGGTGTCAATTATCTCTTCTCCATGCATCGTGTACGATTGTCACTTTTGCCCCTATCTGCTTCTGCCAGGTCAGCAATCCATCCATACAGTTTATGCTGTACGAGACCCTACTAAAGAATTTAAAGCAACGTCGCGCTTTGAGCAACAGTAACAAAGGCGTAACTGCTTTAGAGGCAAGTAGTTGAATAAACCTCTAGATTTTCTTATAATCATATAAAAATTAATATTTAATGTATTGTGATTCGTAATATTTTAGGTGTTTTTGCTTGGGGCATTAGCAAAACTTGGAGCTACAGTTGTAACATATCCTCTTTTAGTTGTAAAGGTAAGCACTTTGTGAGGCTCTATATACTTAAACATAAATTTACATTTCCCATTTAATAAATACTTTTTTTTTTTTTTTTTTGTAGTCGAGACTTCAAGCAAAGCAAGTGATTGGGGTAGACAAAAAGCATCAGTATAAAGGTATGTGAGTTAATAAGAGACAAAAAAAAAAAAAAAAAAAAGAAGGTTGTTAGTTCTTACCTACATGATGTGTTTTCCATTAGGCACACTGGATGCAATATTAAAGATGATACGATATGAAGGGTTCCATGGTTTTTACAAAGGAATGAGCACTAAGATAGTGCAAAGTGTTCTTGCTGCTGCTGTTTTATTCATGGTAAAGGAAGAACTTGTGAATGGAGCTCGTTGGTTGCTGTTGAAGGAAGCAGCTAAATCCAAACTCTCATGACAATTGGTGCTTCTCAAATAAAATACACTTCCAAAATTGCCACTCCCCCCCTTCTTTCATTAGTAAGGAAGTAATGATGATTGTTAGTTATATTTGGATGTATGGTGTATTATCGTTCACTGGATAATTCATAATTGTATGGTATTGGTGTAAAAGATGATGTTATAAAGTGTCATGAGATCGGTGTTGTGAGGTCAATCTTGTATTTGTATTAGCCCCACCTTTCTTATCCTTTCATATGTTGTTCCAAATCTCTTGAAAATGAGGATAATAGACTTGTAGTAATGGGATTTTTCATTTCTTGTTCCAGTTGTGAGGTCAATAATTAAATTGGAATGTTGATGAAAAAAAAAAAAAAGCTATCAAAGACGAATTGTATTTAGTTAAATGATTCTAATGAAATTTTTTTAGAAGTGCAATGATTTGGTATGTATTGGAAAAAATAAATAATGTTGTAAAAATCTCATAGGCTTCAACTATCCAAAGATCCTTTAAAAACAACATGAATCAAAATATACATTGTCATTTTATGAACTTACATGTGTAATTGTATTGCGTCTTTTTTCTACTCTTGTTTTGATTATTGATCATGCTTTCGTGGTCCATAACCTAAAAGTTATTTTTGGAGGGCTTAATGTGTACTTTTTCAATATATGTTGACCGGTTTGTTGTAAATTCTCGTCGGGTTTCCATTTACTACCGGATGCAGCAATAAATAAACCCCAAATCCAGATTTTTAGACAAACCCTAGACATTCTGAATCGTAAAAACAGGAAAAGGAATCGGAGATGACGACCACCGACGGCACCATCGCCAATCCCCCTACCAAAAACCCTAAGAAGGCCAATCTCTTGGATCATCACTCTATCAAGTACTTACTCGATGAATCTGTATCCGAGGTACAACACAACTTCATTTCCGCACATTTCGAATTCAAAATTCTCTAATTTTTTTTTTGTATGCTTAAGGGTTTTATAATCGTTTTTGGATTTATTTGTGTTTTAGATCGTCGCAAGCCGCGGTTACAGTGAAGATGTTAGACTGAGTAATGTTCGATTGTTGATTGGTGCGATCGTTATCATTATCGCCCTATTTGCTCAGTTTTACAACAAGAAATTCCCTGATAATAAAAATTATCTCATCGGGTGCATTGGATTATATCCTTTTTGATCTGTAGTTTTTGGGTGCATTTTGTTTCAAAAATAAGTAACTGAAACTTCCTATGGGCTCACATTTGCTTTTTCCCCCTTTTTTTTTTTTTTTTTTATGCATGATGAATCCATTATACTTTCACTTTTTCAAAATTGAGTGTGTTTAATCCTTGACTATTGCAAGTATGTGATATTCAACGGGATATTGCAGCTGATCATCTACACCAAGGAAAAGAACGCAATTTTGTTTACATATCCTCCAGCAGTAAGTTTCTTTTCTCTTTTTCAGTTATAATTGAAACCTTTTGTTCTAGCGATATTATTCATAGACAACAATTCAATCTACTTTTGAATGTTATAGATGGTGTATTACTTCAATTGTTCATTGATTAGTTAATGCTTGCATCAGAATCAAACATCTATAACATCTCTTTCTATAAAGGTTTTATTATCTCATCGTGTAATATTTTGACAGGGGTCTGCTTACAAGAGCACTGGGTTGATGATATCTTCAAAGTTGCCTAGATTCTCTGATATGTATACACTTACCATAGCCAGTGCAGATCCCAAATCTATTTCTGCAAACCCAACAGTGGAGTTCACCAAAAGTGTTACAAAATGGTCTCTCTCTCTTAATCTCATGTACCTTATGCAAGTGCTGTATTACAATTACAGGTTTGCCCTCTATCTGTTTCTAAAGGTGGATGGATGTTTTGCAGGTTTACAAAGGATGGAGTGTTGGTGGAGGGTCTTTTCTGGAAAGATGTTGAGGGGCTGGTGAACCAGTATGCCAAAGAACACAAGAAAAGTAAGTAAATTTAAGTTTAGAAACTGAAGAAAAGTAGTAATGGTGCGGCTGATGATACTTGGTTTTTTTTTTTTTTTTAATTTTTTTATCTGAGGATGAAAGTTTGAACCTTATGATATTGAAAAAACGTTGGACAAACGCATTTGAGCTTTAACTTTCATATAATTTTAGTGAAATGGGGAATAATATATGACATTTGAGGATGCTTTATATTTCTTTGTGGGTATATGGTCACAAAAAATTGGTCCTATCATTATATTCAAAGGTTGATTTCATAAAAGAAAATTGCTCATCTTATCAGTCACTATTTTGCATTCTGGGATTGTATTAGTTGGATGACCTTTTTACGTTTTTTTTTTCCTTGTGTAAATTCAACATATTTTCATAACTTTTTACAGATAAGATTTCGTGAAATTGTTATCAGGTAGTAAGTTTGTTTTCTGTATGCCATTTATCCTTTTAGAAAGAGTTAAGTCGTGATACAGCAAGATGGTGTATTTTTATGCGTAATTCGTTGAACACAATAAAGAGGTGATTTGAATAATCATTTAAGTTATTCTAAGGAGTTTGTCATTTGGATAAAACTCATTCAGAATTTTGTTGTGATTGGTCATAAGTTCTTGGGTGTCGTCCACAAAATCGAAGTTTTTTGGAAATTTAAAAAGGACGAAATAAACCCTGTTTAATAACATATGTTTTAAAATTTTGATAAATGTATTTTATCAAAAATAGTAAATATTATTTTTTACATATCATTTTGTTACATATCATACTCTTATTGATTTGGTCACATGTCATTTTGTGGTAATTTTCAATTTTTTTTTACATGGCATTTTGTGGTTTATTTTATTTTATTAATTTCCACAATATTTATATGTAATAATTAGAATAAATATAATAATAAATGCATACCAATTTCATTAATTGATTTCCCTCTAATTTCAATTTTTTAAATTAAAATTTTATTAGTTTCATTTGTTTGGTTATCTAAATTATTTGTTTAATTAAAAAAAAAAAACAATTTAATTTTAATAATTCAATATTTCTCTATTTTTTCTTATAAATTTAAACTTCTTAAATGTTTAGAGTTTTATATATATATTTTTTAAAATGAACTCATGTGAACATGAGTTTTAAACCTAATGAAATAATAATTCATACATATTATTTTTAGAATGAAGATACGCAATCCATTATTCCATTTTTAAATTTATATTTTTCGTTCCAAATGAGGGTTGAACACCCAACATTTAGCTATTAAGATAAATAAATATTAAAATCATATATCTTAAAACTCTTTACTGATGGTTTGTGCATATTATGTTTATTTATTATTATTGTTTTAACTATTAAGATATGGATGAAAAAAACTAAATACAAGACAGCAAACCTAAAATTCATACCTGGTTTGACTAGGGTGTTTCCAACTTGACTTGGGATGGGGATCCTCAAATAAAAACTTAGGAATGAGGATGAAGATAAAGATACCCTTTAGTGGTCTTGCACCCGGTAAATATTAATATGTAAAAATAATATAAAACATATAGTTATAGTAACATTTAGAATACCTAAATTATGATCCAGATATCCTAATTATACAGTTAAAATTATATATTTTTTTATTTCATTTATCTAATTTAGTCTCATATATATATATATATATATATATATATTTTTCTTTGGTTTATTTATTTTTACTTTAAATGTCATTCTGATATTTTATTGAATGTTTATTCTTTATTACTTTTCATGTTTATTTTGTTCATGTTAAAAGTCCGGTTTCTATTGATTTGACAAAAATTGTACTTTTGGAAAGAAATATCAAATAGTCTATCTCACATCCGGCATTTTATATTGTAACATATATAACTGCAAATTTGGTCATGTGGTTTTTTTTAAAAACTATGGATGAGGTCTAAAAAGATTTCAACTTGGACTATTAGTTCAAAATGAAATTTTTTTTTGTGGATTTGGTCCCTTACAAATTTGAAAATACTATCGTACCTTTTTTATTTATTTTCTATATTTTCTAATATTTATTTCTATATTTCTAGAATTAAGAAAAATAAAAAATCCCACCATATCTCTTCCTTACCGGAAACCCCCACCCTACCCCCATCCCCCCTCTTTCTTCTTGATAAACCAGATTTTCTAGAAACCCAAAAATTTGAATGCAGACAAAGCAAATCAAAAACCCGAAACATGAAGCTTTTGAGAAAACCCATCTAATTGTTAAGAACTTTAACCCATGGAAGATGAAGTGATCGGTTGTTACGATTTTGGAGCCTATTGCGATTTTGTGAAAACCCAACAAATTGAAAATCAGATGTAGCAAAATCGAACTCCTCCGTTGCCCCCTGATTTGAACCTATAATGATTTTGGAGTTAATCCTTATTATTGCTCGATTTGGTGTGATAGACCCTATGATTTCTCTTTGTTCGATTCTCTTTGTGATGGCTAAATGTGCTTTCTAAAGAATCAAACAAATCCATTGTTCGATTTGGAGTTTATCCCGACTGATGCCCGATGAAACTCGTCGCCGGTAACCCAAGCTTTCTCGAAAACGTTGTTCAGTTTTTAGGATGAATCAACTGAGCAAGATCTACATTTCCTTGAAAAATCCACCTTCCCCGATTTTGTCTCTTCTTCTCCCTGATCGCACCCGATGTCGTTGACGATATAAAAACTCAAGAAACTACACCATTTTATTGTTTCATTAGAATATTTGATTTATTTTTTGTTTACATATGTTCAGTTTTTAGCATAAGATTTTGCAAAAAAAAAAAAAAAAAAAAAAAAAACTCATTCTTTTTAGTTGTTTATATGTTACACGTAAACTTACTTCCATGAGTTGATGTCGAACCCCTGTGCAGTTAAAGATATAGTTGTTGATGTTGTTTTTAAGCATTTATATGTTGTTAGAGTTGCATCAAGTGTAGAAGAAGTGTATATGTGTGTGATTGGGAAGAGAAGAAAAAGAACCAAGTGGGAGGCTTTAGGTCTTGTGGGAGGTGGGTCTAGATGAAGTTTCTGTGTGGCTGGGTGTGGATATGGGTGGGTTACTTGAAGATGAATTTTCTGGGTTTAATTTTGATTTTTAGGCTTCAACCATGGATATCTTTGCTTTAGGTGTTTCTTATTTTTGTATCAGTTTTAAGTCCAACCTCATTACAAAGCTCTTCACCTAAAAAAATGGTGGAGATGGCTGTGAAGATGACGAACTTCATACTGTGAGAATGACAATGATTAAAAGTGTTTTTGACTTTTTTGAGATAGATAGATAGATAGGGGGTGTGTGTGGTGAAATTATTATTATTTATTATAAAAATATTAAAGTGAATATTCAAAAAGTAAAAAAAAAAAAATTAAAAGGGTATTATAATCTTTTCAAGTCATTTTAAATTTATTAAGGAAAAATACAAGCAAAGTGGAAAAAGAGAGGAATTAGGTTGTAAATTTGAATGATCCAATTTTATTTGGAAGACAAAGGAACAATTTTGTTCGTAGGAACAAAGAGAAGCAGATTTATTCTATACTCGATAAGTACCAATACGCAATGGGGAGGTTAATGCCATTTTATACCAACACCACAAAAAATATTCAATTTTAAACCAATAATGCAAGTCGAAAACTTTTTAGATCTCATATATATTTTCTTACAAATCACAAGGATCAAATTTACAATTTACACTATATAATAAAAACATCACTCTACATGTGTTAAATTTCTCATTCAATAGTATGTTAATAATACAATATATTCAATCAAATTATACAATATGTTATAGCTAGAGTTATTTGATTTTTTACGTATGTATTTAAATTTTGATAGAAAAATTATTTGTAGTTTTTATGTAATCTATGAATGTTTTATGTTTTGTAACTAACATTTGAAACTTATGTTAGTAAAATTAAAATTTATACTTTTTAGGGTAAATTACATGAATGACCATTGTGGTTTAGAATAATCTACGTGGTTGGTCATAAAAAGTTTTTTTTTTTTTCTCGGAAGATCTTTATTGTTTAATTTTGTTGCATCTTTAGTCATTTGTTGACTTGAAATAACCATATTACCCTTTTTGATATATGTAATCATTTTTATTATCATATTAAATTAAAAACATTAATAAAAAAATAACATGATCCCACCATCCCAATACTCATTATTGACCACCTAACCACCACCATCGATTTCCTCCACCACCACCGCTGACAACTTTCACTGGGGAAATTGAAACCATAAATCCACTCACCGAAAACCTACTTGCCAGAAAACCAATCTCATTCCTCTTATTTCGCAAGAACGCCTCCCTGCCCCACCTCCTTCATCTCACTTAGAACACATCTTTCTTTATATTACTAAGCGTTCAAGAACAAGGAAACCAAAAAAGGGAGGAAATAAAAAATCAATGAACAATTCGAGACAATTTTGACAATCACATCATCTTTGCTCAAACCTAGAAAAACACAAACTGAAAATCTGATAAAAATAAAAGCGACACACTTTGATGAAAATGAAAAAACGCTCCTTGCCCCACCTCCTTCTTTGCCCACCAGCAACTCCCATCGTGATTAAATATTGTAACATCCCAAAATTCATAACCAAAAATTTCATTTTTAATTAAATAATTTATAAAGGTGGTAGTATGAAAACATCAATAGTGTCATCCAAATCATAATCAAACCCAAGTGTCAAGAAAACCACAACATGTCATAGGAAAATAATATAAGAGTACAATCCCCAAGAATCTCATAATGCGGAAAAATCATAGTGTGCTGTGCTGCGATCATGCCGACTCCTTTCCTTTTGAAGAACAAGTACCTGAAACTGAAAATCGTAAGCATGAAGCTTAGTGAGTTCCCCCATAATACCACATAATCACATATTGCCATGCATATTTGGGTGCCCAACCTACCCTATCACGTATATCTGAGTGTTCGGCCTACCCTATCAGGCATATCTGGGAGCCCGACCTACCCTGTTAAGCATATCTGGGTGCTCGACCCACCCTGTCAGGCATATCTGGGTGCCCGACCAACCCTACGGTGTATTTCAACCAGTTACGGGGTCTATTTCATCCCCTACCATTACCATATAATAACATAACATACAAGCACATAAATATGAACAGATAGTGGCATACCAGACAATTATCACAAATACAATCATCTCTACTATAAACAACTACTAGTAGGCCGACATTGGTGTCTTCAACCCACTTATATAGGGAAGGAAACTCACCTCGAATACTAGAAAGTAGCTGAACAGTCCCCCACTCCGAATATCAACCCAACTCAATCCCTTAAACAAAAAAGATTTCCTTAAGTACACCTTCATACTCATAATCCCTAAAGGGTCAACTTTGGTCAAAGTCAAAGTCAAGCAAAAGTCAACGCTCTGAGTTGACTCAACTCGTCGAGTTTCCATGAATCATAGAATCATGATATCGTGATCCAACTTGTCGAGTTTTCATCCAACTCGTCGAGTTCTTCCTTTTTAACGGAATCGGGACTTCTCAATACAACTCGTTGAGTTCCTCCGTGAACTCGTCGAGTTCTTCAGTTTGCTAACCCTTCCTAATATATTAAGCCATTATTCTTCAGATCTATACCCTATACTCCAGATCAGTTTCCAAATTTATCTATCAATACCTTTCCTAAAGAGATTAAGCTCAAACCCTAACCCCAAAGGCCAAAGTCTTAAATCAAAAACCACCAAAACCACAAGATAGACCATGAGGTCATAAATATAGACTCTAGGGGCAAAAAGATCATTTAAAGTTCCAGTTTTCTCTACATGCATGACCATTAGAAACTACAAAAGGCCAAAATGATGGTCAAAAGGTTTCATGGGACTCCCATGGCCATAAAGTTGACACATTTATGTCATGAAAACCCCTCAAGACCCTAGATCTGAAGTGTTAACCCATATGGGACGTCCAACTCCCAAGGACCATGATATTGGACAAAACCAAACAAAATAACCCTAAAAGAAGATCTAAACAACTACAAGGAAAGGTTCAAGATTTATAGCAGAAAGGTGTCGTGGATGAGGCAATGACTCTGGATCTATAATCTCCTTCTTGTGTCTTCAAGCTTCTGCTCCTTCTAATGGCTTCAACACACACTAAAAACACCCAAAATGGTTCACAAACACTTTAAGTACCTTAAGGTTTTGATATTTAGGGTTAGGACTGTGGATGATGGAAAATGAGGCCAACACCTTAGGGTTAAGGTGGTTAAATACAATGCAAAACCATGGAATTAGGGTTTCATTTACCCAGCCAAGTCATCGAGTTGGGACCTCCCAACTCGTCAAGTTGGTCACCAAAACGCGCGACCCAAAACATCTCTACTCGATGAGTTTAGGGCATCCAATTCGTCGAGTTGTTATATAAAAATGAATAATTATAAGTTATATACATATCAGGAACCATGTGTTAAAAATATTATACCAAAAGAACAACAAAAACATTTCTCCAATCCTAGGTGATGATGATGGTATATTGTAGTAAGGGGAGGATCTTCGTCGACATCAGAAATCTGGATCACCGCCGGAACCTATCGACATTGAGATGCAGAAACGACCACCATATGCACTCCGAACTCCATTGATTTGCAACATATGGTTCGTTTTGGGATTTGAAGCAGGTGGCTTTCAATTTTTTTCGCTTCGAAAAAGACAGGTGGGTTTCCGACCACCACCACTACTACCGTTCGATTGCATATCAGAGAAAATGATATTGTTCCGATCGATTGCAGATCAAAGATACACCAGAGTTGAGAAACATAGATACATTGAAACACACCAACCACAGATGAGATGGGAAAATCTTGAGGGTGCAAAGTTGAGAAAGGGTTGGTTCGCCGGAACCATCCAAGGCAGCGACATCTATTTGAGGGTTCTTTCCTTATTGGTTGAGATGAGAAACAAAGAGACTGTATCGTAAGTATAAGGTAGGTTGGTGGTTGGGATATCGGGACAATGTATGTCAAACGGGGACTAAAGACGCAACAAAAACAAACAATAGGGATCTTCTGAGTTAACAAAACTTCTTAGGGACCAACCATATAGATTACCCCAAACCACAGGGACCATTCGTGTAATTTACTCTACTTTTTTATTTATACAAAAAGTTTTACATTAAAATAGAAAAAGAAATCTCTGATTCCCCGTTGGGGATTTCCGGTTCCCCTTAGGGGTGGGGATAGGGATTCATCCAACGATGGAGATATGGATTGGAATGAGGATCAGAGGATGAGGATTGGGGTCCCGGGTATTCCCTACATTGTTTCCATCTTTATATTAAAATTATTAATCAATTTAGATATGTATTTTAGAATCATATATCTCAATGGATTTTACCAATTGGGTTGTTTTTGAATAAAATTAAACATATTTATTGAATTAGTATTATTTTAAATATAATTGTTAACTAATTTTAAAATAATATATATATATATATATATATATATATATTAAATGTTTTTTTTAAATTCATTTATTATCATTGTTTTAGATATTTAACATTGTTTTAAGGTGTTGTAATTGTTTAGTTTTTTTTTTCGAAGTTACTAATAAGTAAAAGCTAAGAACTTTTCCCTTGGAAAATGTTTATTAATATAAAAACTAGTGATTGAGCCTGCATTTTGCCGCATGCTTTTGTTGTGTATTAGGAATGAGAATTGATTAAAAAGTGACATTTTATAAAGTCAAAGTTGGAGGCTCAAAGTAGCATTTAAAAAAATAGAGGGGTGGAAAAGTTCTTTTACACGAAAATCTCTAATGGATGCAATGCAATCAAGCCTTTCCCCTCTTTTAATATAAAAAACCGGAAAACAATTAAACCACAAACCATAAGCACAAAGCATAGTGAATTTTAAAAAATAGCACAAATAATATATATAACAACACACAATTGTATCAGGTCCGTAACAATCCCAAGTCCATATTGACTCCGAGCCTAGGTCGGCTCAGTGAGGTCCATATCAACCCCGAGTCCATAATGACTCTAAGCCCAAGTCGGCTCCATTGTATCTGTATCAATCTCGAGTCCATAATGACTCCAGTCCCAGATTGATTCCATGTATACAACATACAAGCACATCAACAAGAGTCACAAAGACAACATGCACAATCGATACCTAGTGTCCTATAGTATAGTGAGAAGACTCACCTGAACTACTTAATAGAAGGTCAACAGCTACCCCATCAACAAATTAGCCA